CCTATGTGTTGTAAAGATAAAAGGCTCACTAGTTGTTAGACTCTTTATTATTTAAGTGTACATGGTCAAGGACATCCCACCAGGATTTCTCCATGTATATATAAACACCCCCACACTCCATTTCATATACTTGTCTTGTTTCCCAATGTACTCAATAGTGGCATTAAAACCTAAAAATTCCCATTGTGTGGTAAATCAGTGATCAATATTTAGAAACATACTCACATATTGTTACACCCTCAAAGATACATTATCAATAAGGCTCACCAGATGTAACTGACCCCTTTGTAATAAACAGATTAATATTGTTCTCCAAATTAAGACTACCGTCACTTTAAATAAACTTTATATACTATAATAAAAGGAGAGGCGCGCCAAAATAAATTGACCCCCTCAACATGGAAATGAGTAAAACATTGCCTATTCCAGGACCCAGCAAGATGTCACCAGTTATCACTTTAAATGAACTTCATATGATTAAATTAAAGGGAGGCTCACCAGAATAACTTGACCCCCTTTGCATGAAAGGGATTTAAAAATCATTCATTCTAGAAACCCAACAAGATGTCACAAATTCCAATACAATTTCACTTTTCCAGGATAGGAACAATAACTCTCAAGACCAATTCTCCTTTCTTGTGACCATACTCTGGCTCAGCTCGAACCAGTTAAAACTAAAGCATTTCCATTTCGTAATTAGTAAAACCACAGTGTTTTTTTTTGTAAAACAAATACTACTCACATGATCATTAAAAACTATCTCAGTTTAAAATCTCTGTGGAATCTCAACACTTACGGGTGCACAGCTTGATGATGTCACTTCCAGTCAATACGTTGCGTCCTGTGACTTCCTCAGGATGGCATAACTGAACAATCTGCTTTTCTTTGTCACTTCAAAAGAACAACTGAGAACTGATCCGTGACTGGCTTGGGAGCATTTGGAGAATCTTGGTTGTCTTCTAAACCTGCAGAAGTAAACATTTTTCCCTCTTAGGTTGTAGATGTTATGGGATTTATCATTGATTCTATGAAGCAGAAATTCCTTCCTTTCAATATCTTCCCTCAGTGTCTTTTTAGGAAAAACTCTATCTAAAGATCCATTAGTATCTAGTTATTTTTTAGGGCTATAGCCACAGTAAGAGGGTACACTTGAGAGATTTTCCCATATGGGAACTCTGTAGTTTTTTAAGTTTTTAACCAAGGAAGCTTTTGAGCTGTTGGATTCTGTAGTTCTGAGACAACTCTAAGTTTAGTACTGGCAACCTCTGCTTACCAAATGAATTTAAAGTTTTATTTAAGTGGAAAATGTTCGTCTGTCTTTCCAGACTAACTTGTTCTCAGGACTGACCTGTTTTTTGCCTAATGTATCCTCTTTCTACTATCATACCCAGTACATAGCCCTTTCTATGTCCTGTATTGCCCTGAACCAGCTTGTAGTCGAGACAATTTTTCTTTATCGTACATCACGGGACACACTGGCAGACCAAAAACAGACAGGAAGTCCTCCTCTACATAACCCCTCCCTCACAGGAAGCACACCAGTTTTTTTGTCAGTGTCTTGAAGGTGATGGTCACTGAAGTTCAGCTCTCTGTGGTAATACTGGTGGTCTTTAAAGGATTCCAATAGGGATCAACGGACTGGATAGCCAGATCCATTTTTCTGGCTAAGACACTAAATTAGATGGTACCCGGGGCCCGTTTGGAAAGAATTGAAGACTCAGCCAGGATTGCCTGTACTGAGATCTTTTCGGCACTGGACCCTGCGTTACGAAAGCCTGTGCAGTTCAGACTTATAAAGGTGTTATCCTGCAGGGTGCTATATAGGTCCAGGGCAGTGGACCTTGGAGTAAGGGGGGACTGAGTCCCTGAGGATCCTTGGGGGGGGGGGGGGTGAGGTATATGTATATAATATGGGTGGTTTGGGCTGCTTGGCTGTCATTCCCTGTGGCCACTTGGGGCAGAAAGCTCAGTGTTTAGCCTATCTGGCGTGTTTGTGCCTTGCTTGTCTCTGTGTGCCTGGGTTCTCTAATAAGTGGGAACAGAACAGCTTTTTCATCATGCTGCAGCAGTGTTTAAACATGAGCTCTTTTTACCTTGTACAGTTCTGATAGCGCAGGATGTGCACTGCATTCCCTCGGTGTCAGGGAGCGAGGAGCCAGACACACAAGGAGGTGCAATTAAAGGTAGGTTTATTAATATAAAAAATAAGACAAGAGTCTATGCAAGTCCAACAGCGGAAATTGTAGCCAAAGCCGGGGTCAAGAGCCAGGAAGAATCGTCGCCAGAGCTTGGATCAGGAGCCAGGAAGAATCATCGCCAGAGCCAGGATCAGGAGCCAGGAAGAATGATCACCAGAGCCGGGGTCAGAAGCCAGGAGGAGTCTTAGCCAAAGCCAAGTCGGTATCCAGGAAAGCAATGAGTAGCTAAATAGGAGCTTGCTGTTGTGCAACAGACAGGACACAAATGCAATGGACAGCCACAAACAGCAGACTTATATGTGATAAGCTGCCACCTCCTGGGGGAGGAGCCGCAGAGGGCTGAAAGCATAAAGGATCCCACAATGCTTTGCAGACACCTAAGATGGATGCCAGCACATGGAGCAGCATAAGGTCTGAGAAAAGGTAGGACCTTGACAGTACCTCCTCAAGGGCCCTTCCCCCTCTGTGGCTCAACATAAGGCTTCTGTGGAAAGCGGGCGTGTAAAGCGCGGAGGAGGGCAGGAGCATAAACATCTGCGGAAGGAACCTAGGAGCACTCCTCGGGATCATAACCACGCCAATGGACCAGGAACTGCACCCGACCGCGGACCAACCGAGAGTCCAGGATGCGGCTCACCTCATACTCCTCATGACCGTCAACCCAGATAGGATGAGGCCGAGGCGGAGAGGCAGTAAAGCGATTACAGACCAGAGGTTTCAACTGGATACGTGGAAGACATTGGAGATACGCATTCCAGGAGGAAGAGCAAGGGCATAGGCAACTGGGTTCACCCTGTGGAGGATGCAGAAAGGACCAACAAAACGGGGAGCCAGTTTCGGTGCGGGCACCCGAAGATTGAGGTTACGAGTGGACAACCGCACCCGATCTCCGACCTGGTATGAAGGAGCGGGCAACCATCTACGATCAGCCTGGAGCTTCTGGTGCTGAGCTGAGTCCTTCAAGGACCTCTGGATCTGCCCCCACGGAATGTCCTGTGGCGAGAACAACTCAGGTATTACAGCGGGTTGGAACCCATAGTTGGCCATGAAGGGAGACATCCCGGAGAAGGAGTTGACATCCGAGTTCCTCGCAAACTCTGTCCATGGCAGGATCGACCCAATTGTCTTGATGGTCAGAGATATAGCAGCGTGGGAATTGTTTTCCAGGGCCTGGTTGGAACGCTCCGCAGCCCCATTGGACTGCGGGGTGGTAGGCCGAAGAGAAAGAAGAGCTTGATACCCAACGGGGAGCAGAAGGCGCGCCAGAACCTGGACACAAACTGGCTCCCACGGTCCTAGACAATCACCTTAGGCAACCCATGCAAGCGAAAGATCTCCCTGGCGAAAACCGTAGCCAGTTCTTGCGCAGTTGGTAATTTCTTGAACGGAACACAATGGCACATCTTGGAGATACGATCAATGACCATAAGAATGACCGTATGGCCTCGAGACGCAGGGAGGTCTACAATAAAATCCATGCCCAGGTGTGACCAGGGATGCTCCCCATTGGGAATAGGTTGCAGAAGGCCCAGTGGAAGATGCTGAGGAGATTTATTCTGGGCACAGACAGAACATGGCGCTACAAATGAGGAGATGTCAGAACGGAGAGATGGCCACCAGAATAAACGAGAAACGACCCAGGACAACTGGTTCCTCCCTGGATGACCGGCGGTCTTGGAATTATGGTAGGTACGCAGCAAGCTGATGCGCAATCCCTCAGGTACGAAACATCTACCAGCAGGTCTTTCAGAGGGAGCATCAGTTTGAGCCGCAAAAATCTGCTCCCCAAGGGGAGAAGTCAGGCTGGTACAAATAGCAGCCAGGATCTGATCCAGAGGTATGACCGAGGTCGGCTCAGAGTCCTCCCTAGACACCTCAGAGTATTGCTGTGACAAGGCATCAGCCCTGACATTCTTGGAGCCAGGCAAATAGGAGACCACATAGTTAAAACGTGACAAGAACAGAGCCCATCTGGCCTGACGGGGCGTCAACCCTCTTAGCTTCCGAGAGATACGTCAGGTTCTTGTGGTCAGTGAGAATGAGAACCGGAACCGCAAAACCCTCGAACAGGTGTCTCCATTCCTTTAATCCTACAGAATCCTTTAAGTCCTGAAAAAAATGAGATGTTGGTGGGGGGATTTACAACGTTGGGGGCTATCTTGTCCCATAATGTTAATGCCTTTCTAAATGTTATTTCAGGCCTATCCGGCAAGAAATTGGTTAGAATAGGGTCAGCTTTCAATATTTTCCAATTATCCTTAATTATCTTGGAAATTGCTTTATGCTGTGTTGAAAAGCTAGTTACAAAAGGACATATTTTATATTGTCTCTGCGTATTTACTTTATATAAAATGTTATCTCTCTCCAATTTAGTACATTTTTGGCGTACAGCAGCTTTCCATCTAGCGCTCACTTTCATTTTTTACTTACTTTGTCTTTAATACCATTTAAGTTGTAGCAGCTGGATTTCCATTTTCTTCCATAAATAGTCCTCGATTGATATTACTATAATAATGACGGACATCTTTGATATCAGATCAATGAGGACCACTACATCAGATGATGTGTTTTAATGAACAGTTTAATCTGAAAGGCCTTTTTATTCATCTGAAAAATCTTACATCTGCTGAAATCAGAACATTATGGGACATATCTTTTCTAGATAGATATTAGAGATGAGCGAATTATTCAAAAATTCGATTCGACTGATTCGGCGAATTCGTGAAAAAATTTTGATTCGAGTCGAATATATTCGCTGCGAATTTAACTTATAAAAGGGTGTTTCTAGGCTTCAGAGAGCCTTTATATTAGTGCAGAACACTGTACCTTTAATTTAAATGCCCTTGGAGTCTGCTGGGGAAGAGAAATAATACTGACAGTCAGTATGACATGCAGATGAGTGCCGTCGATCTTAGAATCACCGCACACTTCACTCATTTGGGCAGTCACGGGGCCAAAACCAGAGTGTGGAGCCACAGTGTGGCGGTGGAGGCAGCAGCAATGGGAGGCCATACAGCACCCTATGACAAAAATGGAAACCACCAGCAGTGTGAGGAGACCTGAAAGTGGCACATGGCAGAGTGTGGCGATGGAGACAGCAGCAATGGGAGGCCGTACAGGGACCCATGACACACTCTGGACCTGGCAGCAGCATGAGGAGGCGGTACAGGGGCCCATGACAGATTACGGGCCTGGCAGCAGCATGAGGAGGCGGGTACTGGGCCCATGGCAGATTACGGGCCTGGCAGCAGCAATGGGAGGCCCGTAATCTGCCAGCACCCTATGACAAAAAAATGTAACACACCAGCAGTGTGAGGAGACCTGAAAGTGGCACATGGCAGAGTGTGGCGATGGAGACAGCAGCAATGGGAGGCGGTTCAGGGACCCATGAGACACTGTGGACCTGGCAGCAGCATGAGGAGGCGGTACAGGGGCCCATGGCAGATTAAGGCCTGGCAGCAGCAATGGGAGGCCCGTAATCTGCCAGCACCCTATGACAAAATGGAACCCTGGGCTGGGGCAGGCAGAACCGCCATATCTTTATCACGGTTTTCCCAGGCCACCGAATGGCGACGCTGCATATGCTGACGCAACGCTGTAGTCCCAACATGGGCCCCCTGGCCACGCTTGACTTTCTGGCCACATAGTCGACATACGGCTACGTTTACTTCCTCGGCGGCTTGACGAAAAATTGCCACACCGCCGAGTAGGGAAACTTTGCCCCCGCTACTCCTCACTGGCTGACTGCTACTTCCTCTGTGCACACCGGCACCACTACTGGCCGTGGGTGGTAGGCTGCAGTGGAGCTGGTGCTCTACTCCGTGGGCCGTTTGCCTCCAAAGTGACACTGCTGCGACCCTGCTGCCTCCTGGCAGCAGCAATGGGAGGCCGTACAGGGACCCATGACACACTCTGGACTCCTGGCAGCAGCATGAGGAGGCGGTACAGGGGCCCATGGCAGATTAGGGGCCTGGCAGCAGCTATGGGAGGCCCGTAATCTGCCAGCACCCTATGACAAAAAATGGAACACACCAGCAGTGTGAGGAGACCTGAAAGTGGCACATGGCAGAGTGTGGCGATGGAGACAGCAGCAATGGGAGGCCGTACACTGTGGACCTGGCAGCAGCATGAGGAGGCGGTATACAGGGGCCCATGGCAGATTAGGGGCCTGGCAGCAAAGCTATGGGAGGCCCGTAATCTGCCAGCACCCTATGACAAAAAATGGAACACACCAGCAGTGTGTGAGGAGACCTGAAAGTGGCACATGGAGAGAGTGTGGCGATGGAGACAGCAGCAATGGGAGGCCGTACAGGGACCCATGAGAGACTCTGGACCTGGCAGCAGCATGAGGAGGCGGTACAGGGGCCCATGGCAGATTAGGGGCCTGGCAGCAGCTATGGGAGGCCCGTAATCTGCCAGCACCCTATGACAAAAAATGGAACACACCAGCAGTGTGAGGAGACCTGAAAGTGGCACATGGGCATGAGGACACTGGGGGACCTGGCACTGCAGCAGCATGAGGAGGCGGTACAGGGGCCCATGGCAGATTAGGGGCCTGGCAGCAGCTATGGGAGGCCCGTAATCTGCCAGCACCCTATGACAAAAAAATGGAACCACACCAGCAGTGTGAGGAGACCTGAAAGTGGCACATGGCAGAGTGTGGCGATGGAGACAGCAGCAATGGGAGGCCGTACAGGGACCCATGAGAGACTCTGGACCTGGCAGCAGCATGAGGCGGTACGAGGCGGTATAGGGGCCCATGGCAGATTAGGGGCCTGGCAGCAGCTATGAGGAGGCCCGTAATTCTGCCAGCACCCTATGACAAAAAATGGAACACACCAGCAGTGTACAGGGGCCCATGGCAGATTACGGGCCTGGCAAGCAGCTATGGGAGGCCCGTAATCTGCCAGCACCCTATGACAAATAAATGGAACATCACCATCAGTGTGGAGGAGACCTGCAAGTGGCACATGGCAGAGTGGTGGCAATTGAGACAGCAGCAAATGGGAGGCCGTACAGGGAACCATGTGAGACTCTGGAACCTGGCAGCAGCAATGAGGAGGCGGTATAGGGCCCCATGCAGATTAGGGTCCTGGCAGCAGCTATGGGAGGCCCGTAATCTTGCCAGCACCCTACGACAAAAAAATTGGAACACACCCCCAGCGAGTGTGTGAGGAGGACCTGAAAGTGGCCAACCTGGCAAGAGTGTGGCGATGGAAGACCGCAGCAATGGAGCCCCATAAAGGGACCCATGACAGACTCTGGGGACTTGCAGCAGCATGATGAGGCGGTATAGGGGGCCCATGGCAG